ATATATATATATATATATATATATATAACCACAAAATTCTGTATGTATTTTTGTCTGTCTATTTTCTAAACATTTTTGCTGTTATTGAACATTTATTATCTCTGATGTAAGTTAACATTAATTACAGTCATAGGTGGTGCCAAATCTTTACGTCAAAAAAAGAAAAACCTTTATTAAATTTTCTATAGAGGTTATGCAGTCACATTACTGAAAGCAGAACTAGTTTTACCATCTGTGATTTTGGACATAAACATGATGACTTTCTCAACTGTAAGACTATATTGTGTACAGGAAAACTCTGCATTTAGTGCTTTGATAAAGGGTTTAGATGAACCATCTAAATATCAGTACAAGGTAAAATGTCAGCAATTTGGAATGGCTATGATGAACCCATATTCTATTCCCCCAGCATTGACCTCAAGTTTAGCTGCTGCTTCATTAGTCATTTTGAAAAACAGACACACAGTTATGGACATTCCTGACATGGAATACCCAGTTAAGTAGTTTTAGTGCCTCATATTGAAGGCATACAAAGTTTAGATGCCTACAAATACTTTGTTGCCGGCTGTGTGCACAGTATCAGATTGTGGAAAGTGTACAACTCATCAGTTTTCATAATCTACTTGAAAGTAAACAACTGGTAGAAAAACTGTTAAACTGGACCTAGATGAGTTCTAATCAATCACCTTTATTTGTTTAGCAGTATTTCATGTGTGCTGATGACTGATACTGTTCTAAATTAAAAGAGGACCGACTTGTTTGTGAGATTGTTTGCTAATGTTGCTTACAGTTACTAGATCTATTAGCATTAGGCCTAGAATATAGATTAAATTGTTTAATGACATAACACATGGATTCTAACGTTACATTACATCTACATTTTATAGGCCCTATTTTAGTAAAGCTTTTAATGCATGATTCTATCCAAATATTCACATTTTTCATGAAACAAGCACTGCAAAGCATCAGCTACAGGCTCCTAAATATACTTATGGTTTCTAAGATAATATAATTTGTTACTGCATATGTGGATACATGTGTAATTAATGGCAGTTTAATGTGTTAAAATGACACTTTACAGCAAAAGTTATATTTGTGAATTACTGATCCTGTTTGACAATAAAATGGTAGTAAAAACACTAGAAACAATAATGTTGTTAAATTAAAATTTAAAAAAATTACGTATTAATGCTATATTTCAGGTATTAGCCTATATATATGTATGTATACATATACATACAATCATAATTGTGGGCTTGGATGGAATATTATATTAGGTGGGCTTGGCTGGGTCTGTATCAAACAATGTTCCCTGTTCAAACCCATAGCTTGAAGCTTTTGTGGTGCTGGTATTAATATTCATGATATTTTCCTTGTCTGAAAGAAAACACTTTTAGTAGAATATGAATATGTTTGTAGGTATGTCATACACAACAACTGTCCAACAGCCTTTTGAGTGTCTGGGTTGCAGTTCAACAAGAGGGCCAGGTCTTGAATGCACATTGCACAGGTATAGCAGGAATAGGAAATTGTTGCTCCCATGTAGCTGCCACGTTATTCTGCATAGACACAGCAGCAAAGGTGACCAAAGGTCAGACCTATACTTTGTACAACCAACAACAACACAACCAATTGGCATTATTACATAATTCAGTTTTAAGCAGTTAACTGCTACATTCACTGTTATTTCACTAATTTGTTCTTACATCCAATATGGCAGAATAAACAAAGCTGGCCCAGTGCATGACCTTTATAACATACAAACACAGTGTGGAGGAAGCAGATGCAAACGTCAAATATATCTCAGAAAGTATGCTAGCATTCACAATCGAGGAATACAATTAAAAACAATGGCCGCCTACTATTGCAATAATACATAAACTCAGATAAAGCTTCTACTCCAACAGCCACCATAAGGCTGATATGAAGAGCCATCTTTTGAGTTATACCCATTTCCTAATTTGACCCGTGACCTTACAACTTCAGCCAATAAGACACTTCTGTGGCCAATGACCATCAATTAATTATTAAAGAGAAACACTGTGGAAGAATATTAAGAGCTGGGTATTGAAAGCAGGTAACAGAAAGCACCCCTAACCCTTTTTACAAAGTCACCCTGGCCATCTCATAGTGTATACCATGTTTTAAATATATACATAGAGTTTGAAAAGCTTATGCAAAACTTCTAGTGAGGTAATAATAACTACTTTATCTTTATGTTATAAATAAATTGTGTGAAAGTCAGGATTTTTGTGTTATTTATCCTAGTATCCACCACCACATTTTCTTAAGTTCATAACCTGGACAAATGGCAGCTTGTATGATATAAAGTACAATGTAAAAAAATATTTGTTTGTCATGTTATTGTTTTGTAACTTTAATAAAATGGATTATATTAGTTTAAATGCTATATTAATTTATTTACTTTGTTACTGTAAATATATTAGTACATGTACATTTGTAATTTAACACATGGATAAAAGACTGGCATGATTAAATGGATAAAGAATAGTGGGTTTGAGACGTGCCAGTGAAAGTCACAACTTCCACCAGAACACAACTTCAGGAAAGTAAAAGCTGTGATGTTACAAACACAACACATACTCATTGTAGAAAATTTATAATTTATTTAACACTAAATAATAGTTATACAAGTAATAAATTACAGCATAACACAATGTCAAAAAAACGTTATGCAGATACAGATTAGAAACATAACACAATTTAGAAAAAAAAACAGTAAATTTATACTATATTTAATACCAGTAGTAGCCCAAGAGTTGGTGGTGGGTGCTGATTTGCCATAACGAAAAAACAAATATAACACCCCCATGGCTGAAAGGGAGAACATTTTTGGGGTTAACAGAAATCAAACCCGAGACAATCCCTTAATCACCAGGTCATGTCAAGCCAAAGTTCAACAAATATGAATTAATTAAAAAATAATAATTAGATTTTCAAATATCATAATGGTCATATTGTAATTACTGGATAGTTGGAGTAGTCAAAAATAATAATGATCAAAACCACTAATTTTGATTAGTTGAACATTTTCATGGCATTAATTAGTGTAATCCTTTATACTGATCAACTGAGTCAAATCACCCAGTTCTACTTATGATACACATTACTAGAAATGTGTACTCAGACTTAATTCAAACTGTTTAACTACAAAAGAACAACAAACCTCAACTTATATATGTTGTTTTACAAATCTAACTGTTTCACAGTATAAAACAAGAAAGCTATTAAACACTGTATTGCAAAAAATCAGTTGTTTTTTTTTGTTGTTGTTTTTTTCACAAACCCAGCTGGATAGTTTTCCGAAATCTAGTTCATTTAAAGCATTCATAAACCAAAATTATGAGGAATAGCATGACAGTATGTCCTCTTGTTAATTAAAGATATCCTATAAAGGAACTTACACTTTATAGTCATACAACAAAAGACAAAATCAATACCTTTCACATCAGTCCAAACTTCTAGCTTCTCAGTTGGTTCACCTTGGTTTTTACTTGTGAAAGCTTCCACCCAGAAACTGTACTTTGTGTACGGTACTTCAAGGAACAGAAAATACAAATCTAACAAAACTACAACTCCTAAACAGTTTTTTTGACATATTAATTTTATTTTCAGATTCAGTACCTATACCTCTTGCAAGCAATAATAGCTGATTTTCTAAGGAACCAAAACTGTTGAACCATCAGAATTATAAGGCTGAATCAAACAAGTTTTGATTGCCCTGGAATTTATACAAAAATTCAAGATAAATATAAATGAATTGTTTCAAACATAACTTTCATCCTTGGTTATCGTCTCTTTCATCAACGTTGAAATAACTTGTTTTTAATTATTTATACAGTAGTATTTATAAACTTGGAAGCCCAAGCATTATAACTTTATACATTAACTTTCTACAAACAATTACTAACTAATTGTGTGACAAGTTTTCCAAAATTTATATAATGTTAAAAATAACTTGCCTTAGGTTACTAAAACTTATATTAGATGTAATATATTACACTGAAGGAAAATATTTTCAAGATAATTACACATAACATTAATGTATTACATGTTTACATATATATATTAGAAAATATAAATTCCTGTAACTAAGTATAAGTATACATGTGTATTTCCAGATAACATGTATGTGATAATTCAGGAGTTCATTGAAAATAAAGTATATGATAATAAATGAGGTGCTGTGGGTCTACCCTATGACAATATCACTGTGGTCATGGCCTTCTAAGCTTCCAAAATTTACATCATACAACACAAACGTCAACTGTATACACTTTTACCATTGACATTTTAATGCATGTTAATGATATTTCCAAAGGACAGAACCTTGAATTACACCAATGATACTTCTACCGGTTAGGCCTACAGTACCTTCATACCACTAACAATTATTTTCCTGAACTTCTCCAGTTCTGAATTACGTGCTTGTCAACTTAACTTCTAAACCACCCTATGTGTGTGTGTGTGTATATATTAATATCTACAAAAGGTAAGTAATACGTCTACATTACTTAAAATGGTAAAGTTACCTCACCACTTTACAGGAATTGAATTACCATTTACAGGATATGGAATCAATGCTCAAATAAATTGATCTAATAATGGAAACAATACTCAAAAATATTTATGAAATTCAAAGAGATTAAACAAACATTTACAGATGTTTTTAATAAACACAAACACAGACTGAAGCAACACTTACGGAGATTAGAAACTACATATTTCATGTCAGTTTGGGGGTTGTACACTGTCTTATTTCTGATTTCATTTCCAGCTGACTGCCAGTACATGGTATACCCCTTTATAATACCATTTGGATATTCAGGTTCTGTCCAGTTTAGCCACACAGTAGTATTGTTGATTCCAAAACATGTGAAATTTTGAGGTCTACTTGGTTCTTAAGAATGATAAAGATAATCAGAAAATGCTTAATGCAGATATACAACCAACATCATTTTTCTAAGTTTACATAAAAAATTAGAAAATATGTAAACATAATTGTTTATATTGCCTAAACTAAGGATGATAAAAGAGTGAATAGTATTATGCTTCTATTCAAGTTACACTATATTTCTATTTATTTTCCTGTTAGAAAATGCCAGTTGTGTTTTAAAACTAAAGCTTTAAACAATTTTCTGTGTGATCTTCTGGTTTTAAACTAGTTAGTATAACATACGAAAAATGCTGATTTGAATTGTAACTGTAATAAAAGCTATACAGATTTCATTTTTATAGAATCAATCAACAAGCAATTCAGTGAAATGTACTACACAGTACAACGATATCTTATTCATGAGAGGTAAAAACATTTTTAAAAACAAGGGCTAAGATTCAATATACAGATGAAATTGATATTCTCTGTAAGACCTTGTTATCAGCAGCAGCGTGTTTTGTGAAGAAAGTTTGAATAAGTTTTACTACCGTGAAATACGCATCAATTTTTTTTATTAGTACAGTAACTAATAAATAGAAATAGTGTGTAAGAGACACAAAAACTATATTTTAATCTTCTTATTCAACTGTGATTGTATTATTTCAAGACAAAGAACTGCCTTTAAAACTATTCATAACATTCCATGGTAAAAACGTTGGTTACCACTTGGCCTTCTGAATGACCATTTGGTAACTGGTTGCCATTTGGACGTTTGAAATATCAATAGTAAAATAACAACTAGCCATTCATGCTACCTATTGGAAACTTACAGTTTATCATATGAAGAGATAAGCAGTAGCTGGATGCCAGTTGGCCTTTCAGATTTCCAATTCTAAACTGACAGTTGGCCAATTGGTAGCAACCTGTCTGACAGTTGGCCATAAGGATTTTCAATAACAAATTGATAGTTGGTCATTCAAATGAGAAACTGGCTATCATTTGGTCATTCAAGCTGTAAATTTATAGTAAACATCCTGTTGACTGTTTGATAAAATGTGAAATCTTCACACATATGTTCAGAACTCTAAATAATACGGAAACTTCAATCCTTTGTCACTATAAGAACTATGTATTTATTAATATTTACCTCCTTCTTCAGTCATGACAGCTACACTTACAGGTGGACCACGCCCTTCAGGATTAAATACTTGTAATGATATAAGATACTGTGTAAAAGATTCCAGATTTCTAATTGTGTATTCCTGAAATATATAAACGTGACATTGTTTTGTAACTTAGGTAAATTCAACAGAAAACATCAATTGCCTCATTAATTCTGGTACATTACTTCCTGCTGATGGGAATGTAAAAAGACTTGCATTGTAGGAACATGTATATGATCCTAGTGAAAAAGTCATAAAGAAAATTACATAATGCTAGCAAGAGTATAAAAGACAAAAACTTTTTTAATTGTATGCATGATACACAATGCATAAGAGAAGTATCACTGCTGTAGGAAGCAATTTTGGAGTGGTCGGGCCATTGGCACTTCTATTGCCACAAATACTGCATACACACACAACGTAATGTATTGAATTAAAAGAAGAAAGTTTTAATACACAAGTTTTAGCTATACATGCCATGAAGAGGTGGCCAGGCCATAGCCTGACTGGCCTTACCACTTCCTACGGTCCCGAACTTTGAAAGAAACTAGTAATATCAGCTAATTGAAAACAGAAAATGTACAGCAAGGCAAGAGTAAAATTCAACATTACAAACAACTGCAGAAAGTATCATCTAATTAAGAATAATCATCCAAATAATTAACATATTCATTATAAACAGCTTTCAAATTTACAAACAGGATATAGGAAGTATTATCTGTCTCAAGCAGTTTTATAACTTACAAACAGGATATAGGAATTATTATCTGTCTCAAACATTTTTATAACTTACAAAGAGGATATAGGAAGTATTATCTGTCTCAAACATTTTTTATAACTTACAAACAGGATATAGGAAGTATTATCTGTCTCAAACATTTTTATAACTTACAAACAGAATAAAGGAAGTATTATCTGTCTCAAGCAGTTTTATAACTTACAAACAGGATATTGGAAGTATTATCTGTCTCAAACAGTTTTCTAACTTACAAACAAGACATACTATAAAAAGTATGTTAGCAAGATACACTAGAAAATACTACCAAACTTAGTTTGAACTAGTTGACTCCTATAGTTATCTTATAATTTATAAATCCCATTACATAAACACTTTTACCTGAAATGCACAGTCATGATTATGATCTCTTTCCAAAAGTAATATCTGTGCAATCCCACATTACTGACTGACTAGGCTACATGACTATCACATGAAGCAGAACATGTGTAAATGCACTGTTTTTAAGTCATTTTAAATCATGGAAAAACTGTATAGCAACACTGGTATAGTGTGACATATTATATATAGACACAGCATGTCTTTTCCTCATAAATATTTCAATAATACTGAGTGTTTATGAGATCATGACATACAGCAGAACTTACAACACATTTTGTATTCAATGAAATTTATAAGTTTTAGGTTTGTGAGTTTATTCTTCTATGGTTTACTAAAGTAACAAGCTGCAAAAATGTAGATAATCAAATGAATCTGTTTACCAAATGTTGAATTATATCATTTCTTAATAAAGCCTTTATTTTTCAGTTAATGTTAAATTTGTTTCAGTAAATAATATATTGTTCATTCTTAATTAATGTAGAATAGATATGCTTTGTATGTGGTTCTTGACTTGATGGAGATTGAAAATATTTTAAGGACTATCCATCAGTACCAATTTCCTTGTTTTCTAAATGGAACCATAAAATTCATACCCTGCAGTTTTGTGTTGTTTTATGTCAATAGCAAAAAGTTTAACAGTTACTTTTGTGGAATAAATCAAATATGAAAACTTGACAATTTAATCACAGGAAATTATCAAGTTGTCAAGACATATTTATGGACTTCAGTTAATTCTTTACCTGATACCCTTTGAAATGACACAGTGTACTTGTACCATAAATCAGTTTAAGGCCCATATAAAAATATCCTAATTTACTCACATATGTGTATTTAACTTATATGTACAGATGTTTGTAAGTTTAGTCTAATATACAACTTGAAGTCAAATTATAGCTAATACCTCCAACACATATATATCATCTAACATACTACAGTGCTTTGTAAGTTTACTATGATACGAAACTTTATATAAGCTGACAGCTTACATCTTCATCATACAGGTGTACATCCAATTTAAATATAAAGCTGTTTATAAACTTACTATAATACAAAACTTCAGGCCAACCTGTAGATTACATCTCCATCATACAAGTGTACATCCAATTTAAATATAAAGCTGTTTATAAACTTACTATGACATAAAACTTCATAAGTTGTATGAATATTTGACAAATCTTTGTAACCCACCTAAGTCAAAAATGAATGCTATAGATGTGTTATTATTGATTGCAATATTTTTAATTAGACACTTTTAGAGCATCATATTATATCAAAAATATGATCTAGGCTTCTTTTGTTATTATTGACTAAGTTGACATTCAGTCTTTGAAAATTGGATTGCAACTGGTGTCATACACTACACTCTATAGCAGGGATTCTCAACTTTTCTTCCATCATTAACCCCCTCAGCTTGATGTATTTCTCCATTTACCCCCTTACTTCCATACAAAAAATTCATAGCCATCATAAAGGGACAGCAAAACAAGAAGGTCAGAAAAAAATATTATTCAGGTTTTGCACAAAA